CTGCAAAAAAGCTTTGTCTCAAAAGATGAGTTACAGCTGCACCAATGTTTTCCCTGTTACCTGTTGGTGCCAACATTTGGGCAATTCTGGTGGCTCATGAATGAGTATTTCACAATGTGTGCTGACTCACCCCGTGCTCTTCTACCTCCCATCTCCCCCAGACGTTAAAGTGTGGTTATGATTGCAGTGCTGCAGCAATATTGCTATGGAGATTCAGCAAAAACACTTTACAAGTCTACAGACTTTTTGAAGTCCCACACAGCCTTAAATTCTGATGCAATCATTGTGTTCATCTGAACCTGCTGGATATAGAGAATGCCTTAATCCTGTGCTGAGTCTAGATGCTTTCCTTTGCTTCTGAAGGACAAGAGAGTTGCCAGAACTCTTTCATCACTGCAAGTGTCAGACTAAGTTTTCCTTTGAAAAACAGATCATGAAGGAGCAAGAAGAGTTATTATTGAAGGTTGCTTCTCAGCAACAGGTGGGAATGCCTTGCTTCCTGCTATGGGTGCCTGTGGTCACCCTGCCCAGCACAGGAGATCAGCACAGGTGTCATTTCTGACTTCACTGTAAAGGTAAGGAAACAGATTTCATAAACTGCCTAAATGAGTTTGGCATGTCAACCACCATTTTCTTTTCAGTATTAGAAATTTGTTTTTACAATTAACCATCTGCAAGCTTTTCCTGGAATTGCCATCAACAGAATTGCTACCTGCAGGTGAGGAGAATGCCCCTAAGTGCCCACCAGTCCAGGTGGGGCTCCAGATACAGCATCAACCACACCTTAGACAAAAAATTTTGTAGTGTATTATGTCATCCATGCTAAACTTCTGCAGACTTCCAGAGCTTATGAATTTCTTTGTTACCTCTCAGTAAAGGTTATGATGTGCCTAATAATGATTATTATGGGTATTTATTCTCATTATAATCCATTTTGATGGTAATCAAAATAAATATCCATATGCAGGATGCTCATATGCAAATAAGAATTTCTAAACAAGTGTGATACCTGAAAAAATGAGCAATACACAAACCTAACAGAAACTGGGATAAGTATATTGACTATTTCAAACAGTGTGAATTCTGCTGCTGCTTCTTTATTCATCTTGTACTTTGGTTCCTTGGTGCAACTGCTGTATTTCATGCAATTCACTCAGCTTCATGTGCTCACAGTAATGTACTGTAGCTTGTGCAGAGGCTTGCCTTCCAGCCATCTTCTCCTGAATATTCAGAGCAGGTTGTTCCTTTTCTTCAACTCAACTTCAGTTGTCCTTGTTACAAACTTCCTATGAAGCAAGTATTTTACCAAAGCTGTTGTCCAAACTTTGAACTTGTTCACACCTTCCTGCAAAGATGGTACCCAGTTACTCAGCTGGCTCTTGCTCTGCATTTGCCTTTCAGTTTTGTCTTTAGCATGAGGGTCTTTATGGCAGCTAACTTAGCTGTTGAGGCATTGTTTGGATCATGATTAAAGTGTACTTTCTTACTGTCAGCATTTACTGCTCTGTGCCCCACACACAGCCCCAGGCAGCAGCTCAGCCCTTCACTGCTCCTCCTGGTGGGATGGGGAGGGGATTAGAAGGGTGAGAGTGGGAAAACTGATAGGTTGAGATAAAGGCAGTTTGACAGAAAAGCAAAAGCCATGCACAAAAGCAACAGGATTCATTCCTCACTTCCCATGGGCAGGCAGGAGTTCAGCCATCCCAGGAAAGGCAGGCTCCATGAGGAGACAGTCACTCCAAATGTCCCACCTTCCTCCATCTCCCCCCAGCTCTGTGCTGAGCATGAGACCATGTGGTCTGGGATGTCCCTGTGGCCAGCTGGGAAAAACTGTCCCAGCCATGTCCCCTCCCAACTCCTTGTGCCCAGGCCCTCACTGGTGGGATGGGAGAGGAGCAGAAAAGTCCCTGGCTCTGTGCATGCCACGTTCAGCTGTAACTAAAACATCCCTGTGTTATCAGCACTGTTCCAGCACAAATCCAAAACACAGCCACTACCAGCTACTGGGAAAATTAATGGTTATCCCAGCCCAAAGCAGCACACCTTAAGCTCTTGCTGTGCTGTGCACATGAATGGTTCCAGTTGCTGCCTGCTGTGGTTGTTGTGACCTGCAAGAGCATTTGCCTGCTGGATCAGGAGCGAGCCTGATTTTGATTAACACAGTCTATATAGCTGCCAAAAGCTTGGGAGCCTCTAAACAGTGATGATAGTCCTTTTAAATAGAAGAAAGAAGCGTCCAAAATGTGAAATAATGCCAACAAGCATCCCAAGTGCATGAAGTTGAACTATACTTGGCATGACAAGTCTGAGGCATTTTCATTCAGTGGGAGTTCTGGTGTTTTTGTCTTGTATTTGCAAAGTGTCACGAACCAATGAAGAAAAGAATCACTTGGGCCTGACTTTAGGTTAGTGCCTCTAGGCAAGATCTGGAGTAAATTCAGTAAGGGTTGTCAGGTAGACCTAGATGATGTGGTTTCTAAATCCTGTAATATTCATGGGGAGGGTTTAGAGGTCAGTCTCTAGCAGTCACTCTACTGCTGTGTGAGCACAGGTGCTCCCTCTGCCCTCCAAGGCAGCCCCAGCTCCTTGCTCCAGGCTGGCTCAGCTCACTGACCCCACAAGGAGAAAGCATTTTGCTGAACTGGCTTCAGGCTTCCAAGTCAGGAATGGGCAGGGCAGGACATTCCTTCTTTTAGGAGCAGAATTTTCCAGGCAGGAGTTCACCTGCATGCAACTGGTTGTACAATTAATTTTATTACTCCATGTTATACACTCAAAATGAAAGTGATTCACACAAGACAAATGAATCTTCCATTCATTTATTCACATTTTCCATGGATTTTTGTACATGACCTCAGTGTATCAGAACTAATGAAAACATTAACATACACGTTATGTAAAACTTAAGTATCCACTGAAAAATTCAGAGCATTTTGAAATCTACTAACAACTAACAAATCATCACATTCAGCATCCTCATTGGATTTAGACTAGCTCATGCCACTTCAAATTGTTTAATGTCAGGTAATTTCTGCACACAGGCACCAGCTACAAAATTTTATCAAATGCAAATAAGTTAAGGCATCAGAAAGTCAATCTTTAATGACAGTTTAAATGTTACAGTGCTGCAAAGGGAGCTGAACTTCAGTTTCAATAGCACAGCAAACCTCCTGATTGGTTTATGTTCTACAGTATGTTCATTTCAACTGTAAATTTAATATAAACTTTCACATCCATCAACCAAAAGGGCTTAGAGGAACACAGTGTTGCCCTCCCAAATTAAACCTTGCATACTGCAATTTAATAATTTTTAAATAAAATTCAAGCCAACTGTAATAATCTCCCTTAGAAATTATTCTGACAATTAAGAAAAGCAGAGATGTTTATTTTCCAGCTGAAACTTCAAAATTAGAGGAGGAGGAATGGATAAGACACTCCAGCATCTACATACACCTGGAACAACGAAGGCATTAACACAAATTGGGACAGAAACTTGCATCTTTAATATCAGGTATCTGATATCCAGCTGTTAAATACATTACCAGCCAAGACATAGGAATGCCTCCTTGAGTTGGAATTCTGATCAAAATTCTTTCCTTGGATAGCATGTGGAAGATTGTTATGAAGGCAGTAGTACACTGATGTCTGTGGTCTCCATGAAATTTGCTTTCTAATTTAAGGCCTTTATTTCTATTTAACAATCTCTGGCCTTTTACAGCATTTCTGTATTTTAGTATTCCTTAAATAGAAACTGAAGCATCATCAAAAATTTCTAAAGTGCTGGAAAAGGCTGTGCTTTATACCTGAGCACCAAGCTTGTCAGTGTATGACTATCTTTTCCTGCTTCATAGTCCACAGAATGGTATGGTCACCATGAATTGATGTTGATTAAGATCTGCTTTGCAGGGAAATTCTTCCCTGTCCTTTTAGAGGCAATTTACCCCATGTAACCTGTTCAAAATTATATGTTTATGCACATATTTGACATTCTGATTAAGGTGACATCTCAATTTTTTACCTGGCTTTACTGATTAAATGCATGCACAGAAGAATTCAGGTGTTACTTGCTATGATGGCTAGGGAAAGGTTTAATTCTTTCCAACACAATTTATTATTAATCTACTTATTTTTCCATTCACTCTGTGTCCTCTGCTTGGAAACAGGCCAGAGGTGTATTGTCAGAATTGGGCCACATCCATGTGTGCAAAACCTAACAACTGCCCCTCTTTAGAGGCAAGCATAAGGAAGGAAGTGTTAAATTCAGTTTGTTGGTCCATGTTTCTAAGGATGAAGGAATGGTTCCAAATCCATGAGCTTTCAGAAGTAAGCAAAGGCCAAGCTTTTATAGACAGAGCTTTTCTTTATGGGATGTACAACCAGAGCTCTGTCTATACACCTTTGTGTACAGAGACAGGGTTAAGACACTACAGTCAAAAGACAAATGCAAAATTAACTGAGCCCTTGGACCAGAGCCTGGACTAAACTCTTAGGCAGCATTCTGTTTTTCATTCATACACATTTAGACACACCCTGTCAGCTTTGGGCCTCCAATTTAGGTAGCAGCAAGACTTTTTTTTTTAAAAAAAGCATCTTACTTTGAGGAAAGCAATGTCACTGACTTTTAATGGTTTAAGTACTTAGCCAGATGCAAAAAGAAACCCCCAAAGGCACCAGTTTATTTTTCAAATATCTCAAATGGCATCTAAGCTCCCTTCACACTCCAGGGTTAAAAATGCAATTCTTGTACACTAAGCATGGCTGAAATGTGAGCAAGGCCTTTCTTTTGGAACTTTGGTCAACAGGGCTATAGATAAAATCAAGATTTTCCTCCTTTTAACAAAGAGGGGAAAAAGGCCATAACCTGAATTGTGCAGTGAATTAGGCCTAGGGGCAGCCATTTGCTTCCCCCCAGAGCAGGGGTACAGGTGAGATGTGCTGCACCTCATCCAATGCTGTTATTCCTTGTTCCCTGCCCACAGGATGGCACTGTGCTGGATTACCAGGTCCCCTGTATGAATTGTGTCACACTGACTTTTTTTTTTTTAAGGAAAGGTGTTTTTCCTCTGTATCACATTAGCCAGAGGCAAAACAGCATGTTTGTTCCATTTTCCCAGAGCTGGTCAGTGTGACACATCTGAGAGCAGTTCAAGTTTCATATTATCATCAAGCTCTTGGAGAAGTCCCAGAGTTGGAAGCAAAGTAGAAAAAGTTACTAGGGAAGGAGTTTCCAGCAAACATTTGAAAAAAAGAAAATTATTAAACTACCAAACATGGTCTGACAAAGTTGAGAGCAAAACCAAGACCAGAATGAATGTTCTGATCTCCAAATTATTGCCACCTGGTTAATTTTATCACAGCTGAAAACTAAGTTTACAAAGTACCCCATGCTCCCCACATGCAACAGAAAGCTTCTGCACTCTGCTGCTTTGCTTAATGCAGTGCAGCACAGCATTTTTATCACATGGATAAATACACACTGACACACACCCTTGTGCATGTGTCTCCTGGCAAGGGCAACAGAAAGTCCTGAAGTTTGAGCTCTCTTCAGCAAAGTACCAGCAGCAGGAGCAATGCAGCATGTCCAGCTCTGCCTCAGCTGGATTTTGGAACTAGGGACAAACACCTTGCAAGGAGCATGTGGAAGTGCAACCCTCTGCTTCTGACCTGTCAGAAGCCAGGGGGTGCCAGTGTGTCCAAGGTAAAACTTCCAGTTGTCTGCTTGTCTATATTGCACATCATTGGCTTGTTGCTACAGTGAGAACAGAACTGACAGTTCCTCTGCAGGAAACACTACTGTCAACAAGACTACACAAGCAAATTCTCTTTTAAATATCTGCAGTCTCTGAGTCCTGAAAGCACACAGGTCTGCAAGAGCACAGACCCAGCACGATGGAGATCAGCACTGGTGGGGAGCAGTGCTGTCACTGAGTCTAAAAAGTCAGTCTCACCAGAATACAACAGACCAATTAAAAAGCTGTGGTCTAGAAACAGTTGCAACAGGTAAGCTTGACCATCCTCCCTTCCCAAAACAGGAGGTGCTTGCATTGTATTACAGTCTGTAAGGAAGCTCTGGTACCATGTTTTTGTACCCAGATTTCTGTCCATTTGGTCGACTGGTGCTAAAAACAGATGCTTGGATTGACATCCATGTGCTTTATCCAGAAGAGGTCCTGCATTTAGATACTGAAAATGAGGGAGCACAGTCCAACACTTGTGTTCTATTAAAGCTTTTATTAGCTAGTTTAGCTTTTCCTCACATCATTTTTCCAGAATTCCTATAACAGTTCTTAATATCAGAGTAAAGAATTAAATGTTCAAATGAAGTTATGGAAGAAAAAAACAGCAGCAGCAGTTTGGCAATAATTCCTCAATTTATGGACTGCAACTTATTTAAACCTCCTTTTTCTCCAGTAAGATTTTGTGCAACTCATCTGCATCCTCACTTGTTTTCACTCTTATTAGCATAGTGACAGGAACAGCTGGATTCTTCTCATCGATGGGTGGGTTAGGAACACAAACTATGAGAACATTGTTTTTTCCGGTTCTTGAACATGGCATCTTAGGTGGAATTAGAACATTCAACAGAATATTTCCTGCATTTGAGGAGGGGAAAAATTTACCATTAGCCATTTTCTAGCTTTTATTGTAATACAGTGTTAGAATAGATACTAGCTAGAGATTTAGGGTGGTGTTTGGAAGGAAGGCAATTCATAAACATCATGTATGTTTGTCTTCTTCTTTCCTAAGCATCTATTCATGGCCATTGCTCTCAGATTTCTTTCCTCACTAGAAATGAGAAAATCTGCATCCTCCTTTTTTAAATGGAGGAACCTGAATATCAAATTATAGTAGGGGGACACAGGAGAAAGGGAAGGGGACAACGGAGAAGCAGGAAATGAGGAATCCAGTCACAGTGCTTAGTTTATGCTTCTTGCACTGCTCCATGTGCTCTCTTTTGTAATGCTCACTAGAGGCATCCAAGTGTTTGTCAGTATTCTAAATGATTTAGGAAAAGAAAGTAGAAGGGTTTTCACTAATTGTATCTGTTAATGATATGTAAAAAAGACCCAAAATAGCCTAATGCTTAGCAAGGAATTTTGACATCAAGACTTGTTACTGGGATAAATGTACTTACCTAAATTGGTATCTGCTCGTACTAAGAGTTGAGTTTTTTCATTTCCTGCTGGTTTTAAATGTAATGTTCCTACACCTTTTTCTTTAAATTCATTGTCCTTTTTGTAGAACAATTTGCACCTGTGGAGAAAAAAAATAAAACTCAAATCCTTGTTTGTGTAGCCATGTAGAGATGAAATAAAAAGATATCTCCCAGATACACGTATCCATCTGTCTCACAGTAACAGTAATCAGGATTTAACATGCTGTGAGCAACCTAAATCTTTATTATTCTTTGTCCTGTTTCACCTGCTAATGGACAGCACTTGGAGATAAAAGAGAAAGTGAATTATTTCTTTCAGTATTGAAATGATAAATGTATTACTTTCAGGGAAAAGTGCTCAGGGCCTGTGAGGAGCAATAAATGTAGGCTACTTAAAAAAAAAAAACTAATTAGAAAGGCATAAGAACTGGTTAAAGGCACAGCAACCTGTACTCAGGGCCTGTGAGGAGCAATAAATGTAGGCTACTTAAAAAAAATGTAATTAGAAAGGCATAAGAACTGGCTGTATCATTCTGAAGTTGGAATAGGACTTAATTATACAATTTATAAACATTTTTAAGTGTGAAGGCTCTAATAAACCTAAAGCCATTTTAATAAAGTAGCACACACTTTTCAGATACAGCTAATGACTTTTTGTAGCAGGACAAATTCTCTGCTGAGTGTCAAGCAGACACACAATTACTTGGACTACTGAACATGCTTTGAAAAACTGCTTCTAGTGGAGCCAGTTTCATTTTGAGCTTAAAAGCACAACTTGCTCACTCCTTTATATAATAATAATCAGCATTTTCCAACTGAAGAGTCTTATTTTAGGCTATGCAAATCCACCTGGTGGATTTTCCAGCAGTACTGTATAAGGTTTCTGTAGTAAAGGGCCAAGGTCCTGCAACTTGACTGTACAAAACCTGATGAAGGCAGAAACACCTTCACTTGTTAAAAAAGCTGATCACATGTACAACACAAACTATTAGAGTTGTGCCCAAAATACAGAAGAATTTTAGTAAGATCTTACAAACTCCTGCCTGTAATTAAATTTTTTTACAAGTTCATATTCTGTGTGGATTCCTAACAAGTTTTATTTATAGGAAGTCAAGGACACATCATTAATTATGCACTGCAGTGGTGAAGAATAGCAATACAGAGTAAATACAGGTGTTAATTTTATTTACCAAGTTAAAGTCACTTACTTCTTTGAGTAGAAAGCATCATCTTCTTTTATTTCATTAACAATGACTTTTGGTGGCTCTTCTTCCTCCTCTTCCCCTCCTTTAAATAGAAAGTTTTAATATGTTAATGTTGTGAGCACAGATTTTGGCAGTGTATTGGGAGTCCCTTATGCCCACCATGGTTGGCATGGACACGTGGCTGGTCAGTGACAGCCAGAACACCCTTCAGTCCATGTGTACTCTGCAGCAGCTTCAGCTACAACAAAAAGTGTTACTTGCTTTTCATTCAGCTCTTAAAGCAACTTCATCCTCACCTTCAGTTTAAGTGGGATGAAAACACCCAATCCATACCAAACAATCAAACACCAACAATATAAAGCTTAGTAAGTCAAAAGCTTCTGTTTGAACAGTAACAGTTTTCACATTTCAGAGTATGCTCCACAAATGGGTTCAAGCAGAGCACAATAAATAGTTCCAAGAGCCAGATTTAATTTGGGGGAAGGGAATTAGTTGCAGAATGACAGATAAGAGGGTGGCAGATTATGCCTTTCCAGCCCCTCAGCTACTGGGATTTCTATCAGCCTATTGTATTCAGCACAGGCAAAGACCAGAGTAAAGCTGTTAGGTACTGTGTAACTTTGGAGGCCTCCTTACAATCTATTAAGTAAAATGGACTAAACTGTTCTGTATCTCATGCTTTTTACTGCAGGGATCTCTTGACAAACCTACTAGGAAAAGCAGTGGGATTGACATGTCCAGCAGGCTCAAAGGTGAACATACCAGCTGCTTTAAATTTCATCAATTCCTGTCCTCAGATTTAATTATTTTGTATATTATATAAAGTACAAATCTGACAGAAGTATGTAAGTCTTGATAAGCACATACTTTTGGTGTTGCTTACATAAGGCTGTGTTCTCCTGATTAAGGGTATAATTCTGCACTTTCAAATCTAAGAATGATGATGACCACAGACTATGGAATTTCCTGAGATGGAAAGGACCCACCAGGATCATCAAGTCCAGCTCCTGGCCCTGCCCAGAACACCCCAACCATACTAGCCTGTACCTGAGGGCATTGTCCAAATGCTCTTGGAGCTCTGGCAGCCTTGGGAGCTCTGGCACTCCCTGGGGAGCCTGGGCAGTGCCTGAGCACCTTTCCCTGATATCCAGCCTAAACCTCCTCAGACACTGCACCATGCCATCATCTCAGTGAACTTAATATTGCAATTTTAGTATTCCTAAGTCACATGCACTCACAGCTGACCATTAAAGTAACTATAGATACAAATACATAGAATTTACCTTTGTCATCAGTATTGCCACTGTCTGTTTGAGCTTCTGATAAACTGGTGGATGCTGCAGTGACAGATTTGGCCTGGTTTGCATCTTTTCCAAACAAACCTGAATTCCCAGGAGAAAATGAGAAACTACTAAGCGTTCCTGAACCAAGGGAACACAAAACAGAACTGTCAACACTCTTGCCAAAATTAAACGAGACAGTTGACGTAGCTCCTAACAACGGGTCTCTTTTTTCTGACGCGGCTTCAGCTTTTTTGTCTGAGGTCTCCTCAGTTTTGCTGTTAAACAGAAACGTGGAGCCCTGCTGGAGCTTTGAACCCCCAAACACAGGAGCAGCCTGCGGGGCCGGGGTCTTGCTGCTTTCGTTCTCGGAGCCGCTGTCGCTGCTGCCTCCGTGCTGCTGCTCAATGCTGGCCAGATAGCGCTCGTAGTCCCTGAAGATGGGGCTCAGGTCGCACAGGGGGTTGCTGTTCACGTGCTTCACGATCCAGTCCCGCACGGAGCAGTTGAGGGCAGCCAGCTGCTTGTGGTAGGCGCCGGAGCCGCGCGCCGGAGCCGCGCTCAGGGCGCTGCCCGAGGAGGAGCAGGGCTGGCTGCCGCCGTTGGCGGCCGGGCTCGCAGCCTTCTTCTCAGCAAACATGGCACCACTGGGACCATTTGACACTGGGGATGCTGGTACAAGAGAAAACACAGAATTGGAGAATATCCTGAGCTGGGAGGGACCCACCAGGATCATTGAGTCCAGCTCCTGGCCCTGCCCAGGACACCCCAACAATCCCACCCTGTGCCTGAGGGCATTGTCCAAATTCTTCCAGAGTTCTGGCAGAAGAACCTTTCCCTGATATCCAACTTAACTAATCTGCTTAATAACCCCTGTTGTTTTGTTATTTTTTTAACCACAGATGATTTGCAGACCTAGTGAGAAATGTGGCTTAGAACCTTTGTTTTTTTAAACCCAGAAAGCACAGCTCTCTTAAAAGCCTAACATGTACAATATTTCTTAATTGGAACGCTCATCCTTACTCAGCTGAGCTCCTTCTTTTGGGTCACACTGTGCCCCAGTTACTCCCATGCCAGTGAGCAGATCCAATTTTTCATTTAGACAAGTAAGGGACAGATAAGGTAGATGGAGCACACTGGTGTATAAAAATAACATCCAAAGACATCTTGTACAGAACATTAAAAAAATACATGTTTTATATATTGCCAAAACCTTCAAAATCTAACAACGTCAGCAAGCTGTAATGCTTAGTAAATCAAAAAACTTCTCTTGCCATTTGTGCTTTAAATGTGCTTTAAATCACCCTGAGTGCACTACCCCATAATTTTACAAGCTTTTGAGCACTTTTGTGTAAAAAACCCTAAGAAGCAAACTAGAAAAATTCTCATTGAATATTTCAGTTTTCCTTAATTTATTCAAGCTCACTGAAATCCAAGTTACTCTAAAGTTCAAACTCCACCATTTGTATTCTAAGGCATGATGACTCCAAAATTCTGTGGTGACAGGGTTAACATTTCTGCATGTCCAGCACAAAGGGACAGAACTAATATTCCTCAGGAAATTCCAAAGCATGACAGCTCAACATGATGAAGTATTTCAAATGTCTTAAAATGTAGGTATAACTGTAACAGATAAAATGCTAGTAAGACTGTCTGCAACACCAGATGTACAAGGAAAAAAGATGAAGACTTTAGCTATGCAGCATGTATTTTTTATTTAAATTCAAAGAATTGGGACATGTTACCAGATGCTTTATACCTTTTACAGACTGCCTTATGCCAGTGCTTTCTATTTCCATCTGTGCCTAAAAAACTTTTATCTCCAGTATTAGAAATGTGAATTTAGTTACCACCTCTTTAAATTGTGTCCATGTGAAAACTTGTCCCTCCAGCACTCTAAAATAATAAGAAATCTTACAAAGAGGTATAAAGTCTCAAAACCTTAAAATGTAACTATAAGATGGTCTACATTTGTTTTTTCACTACTAAAATAACCCTGCAAATTTAATTACTGAAGGTGTTGATAAATATGCGTGCTTATTTAAAACTTACCAAATGCTGATTGTGTTTCAGAGGTGCTCTTCAAACTGCTGAAAGGAGGAGTACTGGAGACACTACTGCTTCCATTGGACAGCCCTTCCAAAGGCTTGATTCCTGCACCATTCCCAAATCCACTGAAGCCACCTCCTCCTTTTCCAGAAGGCAATACAAAGCCTTTAAACCCCTTAAAAGCTCCTCCACTTTCAGACTGGGGAGGAAAATAAAGAGAGACAACCAGTTACAAACATCTCCTCCACACAGATCCTATCCCCACTTAATATTCCTGGCTTATTTTTCCCTAGTTCAGCCTGTCATTCCATGCATTACTGTGTCAGCTATGCAAACAAAATTAACAGCTTCCTTATGACACACACTGCTCCTGTTTTTAAAAGACTCAGATGTTTGGTATGAAAATAAACTGGGTCTAGGATGTGGGTACATGGAAGTTGTTCAGAGCTGTGGATGTGTTTGACTACCTATTAGACAACCACAGCATCTTGTTTTCTTTAAATAACTACAGAGGATTATGTAACTTCAGGTTTATTTTAAACAACTTTTAGCATTTACAATGGCAGTCAAGAGTCCGATACTTTAATCCACTCATCACTCTGGAGTCATCTATGAAACCTCTTGTGATTTACACAAAATATTCCAATGTGACTGATAGAAGATGCAAAGACAGACTGTACCTGACCACAGAATATCTACCTCTGCAACCTTTTTATTACCCAGTTCTGATCACTGTCTTTGCAACTGTATTATTTTATGGTATAGTTTCTTAGGTGTTTCTAAAAGACAAAGTACAATTAATATGCAAATAAAGCACTGCAATTTTTAGACCTTTGGAGGTAATGAACTTTTACTACTCTAAGTGAACTTTCAGTGTCTCTGGTAAACCATGAGAGAAGAACTGCTTTCGAGTTTCTTCTGCTTTTGCCACTGAAGAAATGGCAAAGCTTGTCAATTTTAGGTTTAGCTTGTGGTTAAGGGTCTCTTTGCTTCCTTTTGTGCTATTTTTTCCAGTGCAGTCCTCTGCTTCTCATTCCTAGGTAGGCATTTTTACTGTGCTTCTCTCTGATCAGTCCCACCTTTCTCTCTGGACATTCCAGTATAACTGCTGTCTTTCTCACTGCAGCATTCTGCTTGCTCCATGTAGGAACATCAGTAAGTTTCAAGTTTTGCTTTTTGTAAATATTCACAGCTTTCTTACACAACTTCAGCTGTCCTGTCGTCTCTTCTGTGTTTTAGATTTTGTCCAGCCTGTTGTCCTGGTTTTGGCTGGGATAGTTAATTTTCTCCCTAGTGGCTGGTACAGTGGTGTGGTTTGAATGGTAAGAGAATTTTGATAACAAGGGTGCAGTGCTCTCTGCAATCAAGGACCTCTCAGTGTTTCATGCTCTGCCAGTGAGCAGGACACCAGGAGCTGAAAGGGAGCATGGCCAGGACAGTGACCTGAACACAGAATGTCATGGCCAGCAGAGAAACTGGGACTGGGGTGGCTGGGAGCAGCTATTTGCTGCTTGGGGATGGAATGAGGTCAGTGGGTACTGAGCAACTGTCCTGTGCATCACTGCTTTTTCTTGGGGTTTCTTTCTTTCTCTTCTGGTTCCCTTACCATCATGATCATTATATTTCAATCATTAAACTCTCCTTATCTCAACCAAGGCTTTTAACCTTTTTTCTGATTCTCCTCCTCATGCCACTAGGAGGAAGAGTGAGGGGCTGCACAGTCCTTAGCTGTCACCAGCCCTTCTTCCAGCTCTAACAGCCTGCTCCCAGTCTCCTCACTACTTCTACAACCCATCTGGTCCCCCTTCTCACTCTGTTCTACTTTTCTTATTCCATTTGCCCCTGAATCTCTCCTGCTCAAGCTGTAGTTTATGTTTTGCATCACCTCCCTCTAGTGCAATCCTTTAACTCTATCCTCTACCACATTTGTGGCTAAAACTACTCAAGGCATTAGTGGGCTAAGGCAGCTTCCAATTGCTGCTTGGGGATGGAATGAGGTCAGTGGGTACTGAGCAACTGTCCTGTGCATCACTGCTTTTTCTTGGGGTTTCTTTCTTTCTCTTCTGGTTCCCTTACCATCATGATCATTATATTTCAATCATTAAACTCTCCTTATCTCAACCGAGGCTTTTAACCTTTTTTCTGATTCTCCTCCTCATGCCACTAGGAGGAAGAGTGAGGGGCTGCACAGTCCTTAGCTGTCACCAGCCCTTCTTCCAGCTCTAACAGCCTGCTCCCAGTCTCCTCACTACTTCTACAACCCATCTGGTCCCCCTTCTCACTCTGTTCTACTTTTCTTATTCCATTTGCCCCTGAATCTCTCCTGCTCAAGCTGTAGTTTATGTTTTGCATCACCTCCTTCTAATGCAATCCTTTATTTAACTCTATACCACATTTGTGGCTAAAACTATTCAAGGCATTAGTGGGCTAAGGCAGCTTCTTCATGGACAGTGCTTGGACTGAAGAAGGAAAATCAAAAGCATAGGAGAAGGCTGTCTAGCTCCTAACTGTGCCTAGTCCCATCCAGTCCTAAAGAAATCTGTGTAACACAAAGCTCCAGGCCTACTTCTGACACGATGCATGCCTTGTTCAAAGGATGTCTGGGAAAAATATAAACAACAAAGCATTTGTCAAGGATTTCTGAAAGGACAACAATTTGGCTGGACTGGGAAAATGCTTTCACAGGGACTAAACCTGTAACAAAGGCCAACTTCCTTTCAATTTTCAATCTGTTAGTGCAAAGAGTAGATGGCACTAAAACTCTTGACAGGGAGGAAGGAAAAAAAAGTAGCAGCATTCTTAACAAAAGACATGTTTCTCATTCTCAGAGCAGCTCAGTATTTGGGTGTTAACTAATACAGCTTCTGAGATCCCCCAGCCCTCCAGTATGGATAACTAATAACTTTGCATTTCCATACTTCCATCTCTACAAAAAATGGAAGTAAAGCTGGTTTACCAATTTGCAAACAAGATTGTGTCTGAAACACTCTTTATTTTTACTTCAAAAATATGCAAGAACACCCTGCTCACCCAGTCATAGTAGTATTACCCTTTTTTTTCCTTAGCCATATTCTTAGCATGGAACAGTAAAGCCAAAGTTCACGTGCACATATGACCTGGTGAGCTGAAATGATAACTTTATTCAGCTTCACTGCAAACCCAAGGAAGTCAAAAACCTGAGCATGATGCTGTGTTTTGTAACTGAGTGAAACTCCAGCACCCATGTTCAGTGACTACGTTACCTCTGACCCAACGTTTCGGCGCTTTGCTTTTTTAATAGCTCTGTTCTTCAGGACCTCTTCACTTGCCACAGAGAATGTTCCCACCTTGAAGAGGAAGTTAGGGAGTCATTAGTGGAGTATTCAAAACACACAACATGAAGGGATGGCTGAGATCAGGTTTTGAACACAACTCTAACACTTCTACCAAACAAACAAGGGAAGAAGTTAAAAACCAGCCCACTCCAAAAATACAGCACTGTCAATCAGCTTTCCAGCCACCTGAATGTGAGCTGACACTTGGAAAGCTCCTTCTGGTCCTGCACTACATTTCTCTTTGTGCTATCTCCATTTTACTACAACAAAAAATGTAAGTTTTGGGTTGCTTTTTTAAAACAGCTCTAAGATCCCTCTGCTGACGGGAGCAGATGTATGGAGATGTGGGCTCTAAGGCAAGCTCCAGCAGCCTGCTGTAGCTCAAACACTAGCAAAGACAGCTAATGGCTCAGCACCACCCTGCAACAAATGAGGAAATTAAGTTAAGTTTTCTTATTTTCAAATTCCTGGAAGAGACAGTTTTCTTTTTTACATTTACAGGTGCAAGCATTTAATACTTTTAGCTGGACAAAAACTACACCAGTTTGTTTAAACCTGAGCCATAAGGAAGTAGGAAACATTAAAGGTAAAAATCTCTTTTTACAATCAGGTGGAACATACCACTTAACTATTTGCCTAATTCCTCTGGCTGTGTGGGGAAATTCAGCTGAAATTAACATAGCTCTAAAATTAGCTATTACTGACCCTAAAAAAACCCAAAAATACTGGAGGCATACAGAGCATTTATCTCCAGAAATCAAGTCTGCTTTTCCTGTCAATTCAATAAATACCTATCACACCTTTGAAGAGTCCAAAAGCCTTTTAACAAGCATGGGGTTCCCTCTAGAAACATGGAATTCCTTTCCCCAGAACCACTGATGAAATTTTAACCCTTAAAAGCTGCTTTGCTATATGGTCTGCATAATTGGAAGCTTTATAAAAATACTTTTTAAAAAATCCACTTCTATAAAATGATCTTTAATTGCTAAACTTTTAACCAGTTATGCTGTGAGTTTTATGCACAAGATACACAGCCCAATGTAAACAGCTACTCTACTATCTGCAAGTGTACATGGGGGGTGGGGGCTAATATGTATTTTACCTCTTCAGCTTCATCCTCCTGGTCCCAGTTTCGGTCAGTCAGCTCCTTTTCTGCAATTCTCTTTGCCATTTTTCCACACCTGTATGGAAGAACCAAAAAATCCTAGAAAGAATTGCACAGAAATTAAATTCTATATGGCAGTGATCTTCAATTTGTATTCTTAGAAAAAAAAAACAAAAAAAAAAAAAACCACCAAAAAAAACCCCAAAAAAACCCCAGGAACTGCAATTCATGCAGAAGCAAGTCAAGATTGGAATGACAACTGAAAACCAAATGTTGTGGCAAAAACCATCAGCAGCACTTGAGATTAAAGCTGTGGTGATCAGCCATATTCAATCTTAAATAAAAGCAACAACAGAAATGCACAGTTCAGTTATGGAATTAATTTTGTTTAGCAGCTGGAAAAATTCCTTTCAGAACCATAACTCACATACTCCTACTCTGAAGGGCTACAAAAACCCCAAAGCTGTGGTTAAAACATTCCCTATCCCACTCCACATTGCCACCTCAGGAAACCTGTGTAAGCAGCAAGAAAAAGTGAGTTGCTTTGTAACATCTACAATAAATACTGATGAGGACCCACTGAATCAACTGAGCAGAGCTTGGTTAAGACTGAAGACAATGCTCTCCTTTAAAAATCTGGATTGGTTGGCCATTACTAATTTGAAAATTCGGAAAAAATTACAAATAATTGAGATTGGCTTACTTATGTACCCTACAAAGGACACATAAGTCAGGCCATGGATTTTAGAGCAATTACTGTAAGCAGAGAAATCATCATTTTTCTGGTTATCTCTGTGAGATAAAGCAAAATCATCTTTGCAGAAGGAATGTCTGTAACTGTTCTCAGTCCCATTTCACTGAAGTACAACTTATGAGCTGTGTACAAAACCAAAGAATGAATCCAGCTACCATGTTTTCTATCTAAAAAACCTGGCAAGCAGTCACACTACTGGAATTTTATGTGAAAAAAGAGGTATTTTACTAACTATGGTCATATCTTCTGACACTAAATATGACAACTTTCCAAAGGAAATATGTAGTTCTGTTGCAATTTAAATCTCAAGCAAGCACAACAACTAAAACTCTTCCAAAACCCCCCTGGCTTTGTGATTAAGACCTGCCCAGAAAAAAAGACAAAAGAAATCCACAAAAAGCTGAATTTCAGAGCCAGAAATTGCAACAATACATTGTTACAAGATATCTTGTTTACACGTTGGAACATTTCAGAACAGTAAATCCAGCAGCACAGCAGTCCTGGAGATCTCACATCCAAGTCCTGAATTTTGTCTGACACACATCACAAATAAGGTCAAGTTACCAGAGCTTCTGGGACAAAGACTGGCCTGTGTATACATATTTAAATGCCCTAATCCACTCTGTCCTGAAAGCAGACATCCTTGCTTGATAATCACTGGGAGATCATTTCAATCTAACCCACTGAAAAGCTCAAAAATAAGTTACTTTAAAGATTTTAAAGTCACCTTTATCTAAATTATTATTTTATTACATAATTTTTATATAGAATGTGTTATGTTATGTAATACATTTTAATTTTATTTTTTAATTTAGAATAAATTAGTGTTCTGTATATATATTCTATACAATAATAGTGTTCTGTATATACAATCTACATTCTACATATATAGCATATATCCACATTATGTATATCATGTACTATAATATTATTTAAATGTATTAGTTTCATTATTACATTAAATATTTGAGTTATTGAAAGAGCACATTAACAGAGCCTGTAGGGAAAACCTTGCTGACCCAGGCTCCAGGTTCTCTGCACCACCCTGTGTTTACAGAGTTCCTCTTTAAAAGCATTTAGAGGATCTAACAGAGAACCTGAAGCGTATTGTGTCCCATGAAACGAAAACGAACACAAACCTACATCTGAAGTTCACAAACTTCACCAAGTTTTTGGAGCACGCGTTGCAAACAGGCTGAGACAGAAGTATTTTCAGAAACACATCACAGAATCTCCTGAGCTGGGAGGGACCCACAAGGATCATCCAGGCCAAGCCCTGGCCCTGCACAGACACCCCGACAGTCCCACCCTGTGCATCCCTGAGAGCGTTGTCCAAACGCTCCCGGAGCTCTGGCAGCCTTGGGGCCGTGACCATTCCCTGGGGAGCCTGGGCAGTGCCCCACAGCCTCTGGGGGGGAACCTTTCCCTGACACCCGTGCGCTTACCCAGCTCCAGTCCGACACCAGCACACGCAGACGCTCCGCTGACCGGCACGGACCCCCCGGGCTCGCGGGGGCTCTGCAGGGGGCGGCAGCGCCCGAGCGCCGCGGGGCGCGGAGCGGACGGGGCCGGGAGGTGCCCCACAGGCCGCGGCTCACGTGACTTCCGCCGCGAGCCGCGCTCCGGCCGAAGTCTCCCGAAATGTCGGGAAAAACAAACCCCGAGAGTGGCGTGTTAGCGTCAGCCCGCCAGGCACTGCTTTGTCCTTGGCCAGTGTGAAATTCTGCCTTGCCCGGCAAAATTTGGGGCCTCCACATTAAAAACTTTCTCACCTGCTTATACGTTTTTACTAAATTAAGGTTCACTGGCTCTGAATTATATAATTCATGACTTTCAACACGGGAGGCGCCTCAGAGCGGCTGAGGGGGCGGCCGTGACACATTAAAAACTTTCTCACCTGCTTATACATTTTTACTAAATTAAGGTTCACTGTCTCTGAATTATATAATTCATGATTTTCAACACGGGAGGCGCCTCAGGGCGGCTGAGGGGGCGGCCGTGACCGCTGTCCTGCTGCTCAGCCCTGCTCCCTCTTCCCTGCCGCTGGTTCACTTTCCTCGTTCATTTTTAATTAATTAATTCATCATAATCAGGATATTAATGATAAGCAGTGTGCTAGTGTGTGCCCTACACCTGTGGGAAAGCACAGTCCAGAACCCTGCTAAGTGGTGGCTTGTTCCGATGATCAAGGGAAACACCTTTGATGTTTCAGAGGTGAAAGTCACTGAGGGACAGGGGGCTCGGTCCAGCTCCGAGCAGCTGAAGGAAGAACCCAGCCAAGAAACACTCGATTTGAGCTGAAAAGGTCACTGCCCACGATGGCATCACCACGGCTGCTGAAGGTACGGGGCTGTGACAGGTTGTCTGCTTTTACCAAGGGTGAAGAATTACAAGTGTGTTTTGCTGGAAAGAACCAACAAAGCAGTGTGAAAAACGCCAGTCACTGGTTTTTAAAATTTTAAAAGTTTAATAGTAATAAAATTACTATTAAAATAGCAACATAATTAGATAAATAAGAATTTGGACAATTTGAATTAGGACAATATGAGACAATAAAAACCAAAGAGTTACGGACAGTCCGGGTAGCTTTTTCTGGGCAAAATGAGCCCAAAAAAACCACACGTTAACAGAGGATTAACCCTTAAAAACAATAGCCTGTTGCATATTCTTACATCTCATACATGATGCATAAATTCCATTCAAACACAGGATTCTGTCTAGTCAGTGTCAACTTCTTCCTCTGAATTCACACAGCGTCTTCAGGGCTCAGTGAGGCAGGACAAAGTTAATTTCTTCTGATAAGGGAGCAATAAATTCTCTTTCTCTGAAAAATGTAGGTGTCCTATGGCTGCTATCTCAGTGCAAGTCCTTTCTTTAGAAAAAAAGTATACATACACATAGCATAGTTTCTATTTTAACATTATGTTATAACCTAAAACTATATTTAACACACAGCTTAAGAAAATTAATACAGCAGAACTTTCTAACATAACACATATAATATTAATTTTATTACTTGCAAAAAGCCAATCATAAAATACTCATTTTTCACAGTTAGTTGAATACAGATATCATGCTGAATTGCAAGAAGCAGGAAAATAAAAAGGTCTTGTTTTTTAAAATACATTTTTTAATTAACTAAACATTTTCTCTGTTGTTTGCACATTTTGTTATTCCAGAAGTGTAGATTTTCTAATTGCTTTATCTGTCAACTCTTATTTATTTTAAGTAGGGCACCCACAATGCTGAAGGGAAAGGCTATTTGTAAAATCTTCTTTCAATAAGAAGTTTTCCAGGGTCACCTTTTAGGATTCCAGGCATTTCCCCATTGATATTTTTAATGTTTGTGCAGTTGCTCAGAAGGTTTCTTAGGAATTCCTACCAAGAATTGTAACTGGAAACGTGGCTGTTCTGTTGTATAAGGACTCCTGATCCACACTAAGCAAAAGAACTTGATAATTTGAAATATTCTGGTCCCTTGGTCCCCAGTGGTAAAGCATATGAGTTGAAATGGAGTTTTTTTCTTAAATAACAAAACCAAATACATCCTAAACAACAAAAATCACAGTTGCAAAGTCAGAGGTCATGTGAGCGATCTTTTACACAAGCTGCACTTTGAAATATCAACTGATTAAGAAATTTGATAGTTGATGGAAATAACAGTAAATGCAATTCTTACAAAAGGATTAAAGTTTGCATTAAAAATAAACTTTTTGATTAATATGGGTAAAAAAGGGAAAAATTTCTCCTAGTGGTCTATAAGATGTGTTGACTCTAGTTGTTAATCTATTAATTTATGTAAAGTTAGGCCTGAAACCTCTTTCCTGTATTTTCAATTTATTTTTTCCAATTCTGCTAAAATCAAGATGCCTCAAACAGAGGCATCTGTTCTCCCCAGTGAGAAGGATCTTGGAAAATGTATCAGAACTCCCATTTTTTAATACTCATGGAAGGAACGAGCACAACTGTCATTTTTCTTGTCCCTTAATAGGATTGTCCTTGCCATAAACGATTTCTGATGTGTTGTGCTCATCTCCAGCACAACAATGACCAAAGGTGGCTGTCTAATGAAATTAGAAAATTTATAGAGGATTTGCAGGTATCATGCATGAAGAAGGTTCAGCTCCAGGCATCGAAGAGGTCTGGAAGACACAGCACCCATTTCCCTGAGGAGACACAGTAACCTACTTACACATGCACAGCATCAGCCCCAGAGTCATCAAACCAAATACCTTTAAACTTCACTTATTCCTGGGGCAGAGGGAGCAAATGAAACATTTTTCCAGGAAAAAAATAATCTCTGAAAATGTTATTGAAAGATTTGAGAGTTTGAGGAGTCTTAGAGCTAATTCTTTTTGGAGTACTGTTCTCAGTAACCATGGATATCATCTGTGGGCTTTGTGTTGGTGGTCTATCCATGGGTGGATAATCCATTGGAATTATCTGGGTTTCAGGATAATTTGTGCTGGAGATGTGCAACACTCGTGCTTATGAACCATATTCCATCTAAAAGTAATATATTTTCGGTTTTTTTCTTGCAGCTTTTGTGCCTGTCACCTGCTGGATACAGCTGTCAGGTAACCTGTTGTAGTGGTTTTGGTTTGTTAATTTGAGATTTTTTTTAGTCAATGTATTAATGATTATTAATCATTAATGGGTGGGTTTAACCCAAATTATTACTGTAATTATTACAATGTATTTGTTTATTGTTGTGATATAGGATTAGGAGAAAGATAAAGTTGGCTTAAAATTTTAAAAGGTAGAAAGAAAAATTTATTAATAGTAATTAAAAGAAAGAGTAATAACAATTAGAATAAATTTTTAGGGTTTTTCTTTTTACAACTTTTTTAAATTGCTAATGTAAAGAAATTTTAGTTAGTTTACTATTTTTAAATACTTTTCTTTAGGTTGTTTAGGGAGAAAATTCTCTTTTGTTAATGTTATGGAGATTTTTCTGTAAGAAAATAGGGGATTTTTTTTGTTTTTTATTAATAATAGTTGTTTGGGGAACTTTGTAATTGTGAATTTTTTTATTAGTTTTTTTATAGTTGCGCTTATGGGTTATGTTAACTTATGAGGTATTGTTTTAAAGATGAGTTGTTTAAAAGTAAAGGTTTTTATTATTTACCTTTGAAATAATTTTTATTTTTGAGAGTATAGGATTTTTATTATTTATTTTGTTTAAATTTTTATGGGATTATAATTACTTTAATATTTGTTTATTTTGGTTTTTTTGTTTTATATTAATTTGAACTTTTAATTTTTTTATGGTTTTATGTGTTATAGGGGGAAAAGAGGTTTTTTAATATTTTTATAAGAGGATTTTAGGTATGGAAGGTTTTTTTATGTTAATTTGAACTTTTTTTGGTTTTATGTGTTATAGGGAAAAAAGATGAGGATTATATTTTTATAAAAGGATTTTAGTTTAAGATTAAAGGTATTTTTTTAATTTGGGATTTGATTTTTTTTACTGACTTTGATGTTTTTATGTTGCTTTTTTACACTGTATTTTTTGTTTCCTTTTTTTTTTTTACTTGAGGGCGGAATGAAGTACTGAAAGAGTTAATATTTTTGGGGGGGTTTGTAGATGGTTACTTGACCAGTTTTGTTGGTGAGTTCAGGAACACAGAGCTTGAAGGGAGAGAAAGTTAAGTGGTTTGATGGAAGAGACATCTATTAGCATGGTTTTGCTGTTGTTTGGGGTTTTTTCACCAATTTGTATTACTCAGTTATTTCATATATTTAGGGACAGCAATAATTTCTTTAATTTACAGCTTTGAGTGTCTGAGATATCTGCAAATTGTAGTCCAGCATCACTACTGGTGATCACTTGTAAAAAATCTGTACTCTGAGTAAGATTTTTCCAGTGTTCAAGTAGATTTAAAGCCACAACATTCTTCATACATAAACTTTCCTGCTAAGTACTTCAGTGATACTTCAGATGGACAGAAATTGCAGTTTTTCCTTAGAAATACCAAACTAACAGAAAGCTGCAGCAGGCAGGCTGTGCAGTTTAGCACCACTGTCTTAGGTTACAATGGAAGATGTAACCAAAAGTGTGTATTCTGTCACCATCTGTGAAAGCCGGGTGGGGCAGTGTTCTTTATCTCTTCAGGACACATCCCTGATAACTCCCTCTGGAGGGGCATCTTCTGTTAATGGGCCATCAGACCTCACTGTGACTCATGAAATTACATCATCCCATTGTGGGATGCTCTGCCCAGGGGGAGAAACCAGGAATTCCTACCTGGGATAATGTGAAATTTGGAACACCCGTGGGCAGCCTTACCTACTCCAAGAGGACATGAGCTACCTAACTACTACCAGATATGTGAAATTTGGAACACCCGTGGGCAGCCTTACCTACTGGACTCCTAGAGGACGTGAGCTACCTAACTACTACCAGACCTTCAGAGGAAGAGCCAACCTTCTACAGGATCATTGCTTCAGCAGAACCACATCTATTATTTCAACAGGATTGCAGACACCATTTAATGGGACTGCTACCACCATCATGACCAACAGGCCATCAGGTCGTACTCTGACTCTTGTCAGTGTGCCTGTACTTTTACAGTGTTCCTGTACACATTTATTTTAATTTTCTAATTAAATTGTAGCTCTGACTTTGAATCTGTCACTGGTTTGCTTTCAAACTAGTACACACTACCCAGAGGAAACCCTGGTGCACAAATGGTACTCAGTGCTGAGGTGGCCATCTCTGAGTTTAGCTCATTTCTGCTCAACTTAATACTTAAAATCTGTGGATATTTGTGATCTAGGGTCTTCAGCTGCCATCAGCACCACTTTTTTACTCGGCTAGGTAAGAATAGGTCAGCTACTCAAGAGAGGCACATGTTTGATGAGAAACATTAGGACAGTGGAAAATACAAAGGGCAAGGCGAAAATGTTAATTTTTGGAGCAGGATTTGAATAGTGTATCATGGTGGGGGTCATTTGTCAGAGACATACAGATGACACTACTCTCAAAGGTCCTTGTGACAAACAGCCTTGAGTTTATTCTCACAGCTCCTTTTATAGGAGCTCCAAATTTCCCTCACACACTGGATTGGTTGAGGTCTTAGCACCATCCAGCTCTCTGGCCAGTGACACATCTGCATTTAGGGCTGAGGGTCCCTGTGTAGATTTGAATCAAACCAACCCTTGCTCACCGAAAGGACTTGGGACTTGTTTGCTTCTAGGCTGGTTGAGTTTGGGGGGCAGCTTCAGATCAGCTGCAATGTGACAACAGTGTGCAGTAAGAAAGACTGGAGTGTCTCCTCGAGTGAGCAAGCATCTTGTGTGCTCAGTGGCATGGGTTTTTGTTGGAAATCGCTGACAGGTGTGATTTTCAGGAGATGTAGTTAAGATGGGATGGAGAAAAGTTGAAAGGAGCATTAAGGAGGTGTTTCTAAATTGGTGGAAACTTAGAACAACATTTTAAACTTAAAACAAGTGTAGGTATTTCTTCGTGAGGTTTGTTCAATGACTCAGTAGTGGGGTTTCACTGTTTATGTCCCCACAGCTAGGGTAATTTTCTTTCCATGCTTCTTTCAGGCTGAGGAGGCAAGGAGTTCAGAAAGGAAGTTTCTAGCAGAAGTTATTATTGTCAGCTGCACCCTCTGGAACAGCAGTTTTCCCTTCAGTCTCTTCAGCCAAGTCATGCTTTAACCCCATGTTGCATCACAGAGATCACTGGGAAGCAGACTGAAAACTTCTATTTAAAAAAATCCCCAACCAACCAACACAAGAAAATACAAAATATTGATCATAAATTAATGAGAAAAGATAATTCATCTGATTTTCCCCTGATAGGGCTTTCTTCTGTGGGTTTCTTCAAGGAGGCATTCAACCACTTGTCTGTGTGCAGCTAACATTGTAAGCCTTGTTGAATAAAAAAGCTGAGTTTTATAAAAACTTCAGCTGTTACTGTTGCCAGAAGAGAAAAGGTAGTTCTACTGCCTGTTTCCAGTTCAAGCTGTTGTTTCCAGATGTTTTTTCCAGCTGACACTGGAGAACTGGTTTGGATTCATACTAACTAGTTTATTTCTTTTTCAGGTGAGTTTCCTGATCAGGCTGCACCACCTGTCTGCAGAAACAATTCTGCCAGTTCAGGGGGGTGGCATCACAAAGCCTGGGATAGAGCTCTAAATTGAAGCTATTTTTGTTTAGACCACCCTGGTTAGTAATAGAAGAATATGAGTTATGAATCCACAAATTCCAGCTGGACAAGTAACAGAGGGTATGTGTAAATTAATTATGGAGCTGGATGCTGTCCACAACACATGCAGTGTTTGTGTGCATTATTTCAGAAGACGTCTTTAATTCTGATTTGTGGAGAGAAGTGGATTAAGGAAATGGATTACAGAAATTCATGAATTGATGAATTAAGGAATGGAGACTTTTAGAATTCCCTCAGCATTACTAAAATCCTTTTATTCCGGTTTTCTTTGTGCTGTGGAAGGAAGAAGCTAGCGGAATGCGTGATGTAAAATAATCCACACAGTATACAAAAATACTTTAGTGAAAAAGGCTGAGAAAAGTCAGGAGATAGTATAGGTTTAGTATGACATGATTGCAAGCAGGAGTATCTTATGCTACCTGTCTTATCCCTGTGTCCAGACAGGCTGTCTCTGGCAGCCCCCAGCCTGCCCTGCTCCCCCCAGGGACCTCTCGTTGTCCCCAGACCCAGTGCACTGGCAGGTGCTCTGTGTCCCACTGGGCACCTCTCAGCACCCAGGAGCCAAGACAGGTGAACCAAGGACAAAAAACTTGAAATCATTAAGAAAATTTCGAGCAAGGCAACATTTCCTAGCAGGACTTGGAAAGATTATAATGCAGTAAGGAATAAATGCTTCCACAGGAAAGCTCGACACAAGGCAAACCTTTGTGGCTGCAGCAGTGAGGTGACACGGCTGTGACCATGACCCTGACAGGAAAAAGAACTGGAGAGCAGCTCGTGGCACTCACTGATACCAGGCTCCCAAGGTGTGAGAGGGCAGCAGGGAACTTGGTTGTTGAAGGTCTTCACTGCCTTCCTTGTGGCACCTGGGGATGGATGTAAAGGTCCCAGAGCTTGTCAGTGGCTGCTGATATGAAGGGGATGTAAAGTTATGTGACGTGTGAACACTACAGAAATACTTTGAATTACATTGTAAGAATACAGATAGTGTTGTGAGGGAGATACAGAAAAAATTGCAAATGTGAATGTTTGGTTCTGGTTAAGTTTTCATAACTGAATCCATTTTCAAAGCAAACAGAATAGATGTTTAATATTTATTTAGCTGCGGTTCTTAAAAACCTCCAAGCTGTCTCACATTTCCTGCTTTAGAGAAGCTGGAAGATTTTGAACTGCATTGTCAGTATTTTTTACACCTTTCTATGCCCAGGACAAGTGTCCTTGAAAGGGCAGCAGCTTTGGATTAGCTGGTTGTCATGTAGACAAGGATATTTTCAAAATAAAGGCACACAATCCATTTGTAAATCTTCCAGAATATATGAAAGTCTAATCAGACTGCCTCAGACAGCCGAACTGTGATGTATCTCATTTGAATTCTCTCTTCCCCCGGGCCTTGTCTACAAGAAATATGCAGACACTGTATTGGAAGTAGAAAGCATGAATGATAACAATACTCAGTTCTGCTGCAGTCCTGAATGTATTTTAGTTTTGAATGCATGTAAGCATTTCCCTTTTTCATGTACTGGCTGTAGCTGCACCAGCATTATGCAATACCTACTTTTTGTCACCAACACAACCTTGCACTGCCCCACTTTTTCTTACTGTTAGTACTTGATGGTATTTTCTGCAGTAAGTTATATGTTATTGATTTGGTTGACAAACAAGGATCTTGCACAACCTCCTCCCTGAACGAGTGCATCTCTGCTTTTGAGTACAGACTTTCTGGTTGTGTGGGATTTGTGAATCTTCTCTTCATTCTGAGTGTTCTTCTGTTTTCTTCAAATGATAATTTGCTGGCTATTAAGTACACTTGAGCTGCTGACTGGTTCTGATTTTCAGCGTTACCATTTATATACATAAATACAATATTCATATATATACTATATATATACAACACAATGTTCATATATGTATTCATACTTATATGTAAACATGATAGTTCTCCCATCACTGAAATTTCTTCAAGGCTCTCACAGCTCCTATTTGAAATGTTTTTCTTCTCAATAACAGGCATTTGAGGGAAGACCTCTGCCCTGTGGTGCAAAGTAGCAGAAATTTTGCTTCTTCAGATCCCACAGTAGAATCATTGTGCTTTATTCTCTGTGGAATTTCTTTAGGGAGATTATTTTAGTATGACTTCAGATTGTAACTGTTGCCATTCTTTTGGATCAGTTTGCTCCCAGGCTGTGTTAACATTGCTTGTAATCTGTCATAGGCTAGAGATTATTACATATATTACTTGACTGTTAGGGCTTGATCTTATTTCAGTAGTTACTGTTTTCTCCCTGAGAGTTATTTACAGTAGATCCTTCTCCAGACCTGGCCAAGACTGCAGGCTCAGAACTGTTGAAGTGGCAATAACCTCTCAAACTGATGAAGACAATGTTGGGAGGAGTACAGAAGAGTTTCAACAGGAGTGAATACTAATCTCTTAGTCATCAAATCGACTGTTTCCAGGAAATAAATGTCTTTAGTCACACCTTGAAAGCAGCATCATCCAAGGGAAGTGCAAAGATCTTCCAGTGACCCATCCAGAGTGGTGGTGGGGGGAAGAGCCACTTGGTATTTTGTCATGTTTTTTCCATGTGAATAGTTTTTTTCCTGGTATCTTTTGTTATTAATATTGTTGTTGTTGCAGTTCATTTTCTTATCTCCTTTCTGTTTCCAGTAAATTGTTCTTATCTCAACACATAATTTTTACTTTTTTGTGCCCTCAATTCTCAATGCCATCCCCAGAGTGGGAAGAGGGAGAGGAAGGATGGGATGAGCAAGCGGTGTCTGGTTTGGGAGAGTCTCAAGAAGGGGGCATACTAAACTGGGGAGTGCCACTCCTAAACCAGGACACCAATAAAATACAGTATCACAATAACCAATAATTAAAAATTAACTTCATGTCCTTTGCAGCCTATGCAAAGTGCAAAGTTATTGACTAACCTGGTCCTTACTCTCTTACATGTAGTCAAGTGCCAGTGAGAAAGGTCTGATCAGAGGTTTCTTTGTGTTTTGATAAATAACCTGTCTCAAGGTGAGAGGGTTCTTACAGA